GTAAATTTGAACACAAGAAAATGTATAGTACCATTGTCTATGGACACACTTGGATATTTTTAAAATCTGTGTGACCAGTGATTCAAATTCAAAACTGACCTTTGCCCCTGAGGGTCCAAGCAGTCCACCAGTGCCTGGTATTCCTGGCTCTCCCTTGTAATGGAAACAAACAGATACTGCATTATAATCTCAACACTTTGCTTCAAAAACAGTGGTTAGATTTTTTTTTTAATACGGATCATTCCAATTTTTAGCTTTGAGTTGTAAACAGCAACATACCATTGATCCAGTTTCTCCTGGTGCTCCTGGTTCACCTCTCTTTCCGGGCAGACCCTTTATGAAACATAAAAAACAAAACAATATATTGGCATTCAAATATTGATTATATTTGTATTTGCTAAATTTGACTGAGTGACCAGTCAGTCAGAGGACATGTTATGATAGAAAGCAATTTGCAAATATGACAGGTACAGTAGTCATACTGGTACCAGAACAGATGGCTATTATTTACATAAGTGTCCTAGCAGGCACTGCTTGCACTCTGAGCCAAAATGTACATGAAGATATATTATACGTGTAAATGTATATTACACAGACTACAGTATATACCAAGAGGTATAACTATATTTACCGGAGAGCCAGATTTTTTCTGGACACCTTTGGGGCTAGACAGTCAAATAAAATGAAATAAAAATCACATTTTTGTCTAGCATTATTATTTATTTTGAAATCCAGTCATGGGCCGGATTGGACGGTTTGGCGGGCCTGATTCGGCCCTCAGGACGCCAGTTGATAATCACATGTACAGCCTAATACTGTATATGCATTATATTCAAGTTTAGCTAAAAGCTAAAAGGTTCACAATTACAATATTACAGGTTAAATCCATGTGAACTCACCTTTGGTCCAGAAGGGCCTGGTTCTCCTGGTAAGCCTGATTCTCCTCTCTCTCCCTGAGCAACCCAGGAAAAAATAATAATTCGATAATTAGATATTAATACACACATACAATACCACTTTGTAGATATTGCCAGAACATACCATGCTTCCTTGTGGACCAGGCTCTCCTCTCAGTCCAGCAGGGCCAACATCACCCTGCACAGCCACAAGAAGACAGTTGATAAGAGTTCAATACAATACACTCAGGTAACTTACTGTATGAATGTCATTTCAGGCGACTTCTGGACACAACACACACAAAAAATATTTCAATAAGCTAACATTATTTGTTATAATAAAACCAGTAACTCCGTACACTGATAGAGTCAAGTCTGTTACAGAACACAGTATAATCCAGTATCGTAAAAGTACTATATTATGAACCAGTGTTACCTTCAATCCTGGTAATCCAGGAGGGCCAGATTTCCCTGGACTGCCGTTCTTACCCTGGTGGTGACAAACGCACACATTGTGAAGCCAGTTGAAGGGATCGCAACAATGTGTGAAGAGGCTAAAACAGGCATGGGCAAACTTTTTGACTCGCGGGTCACAATTGGTCCGAAAATTTGACAGGGGGGCCGGGTCAAGAGCAGATGGGTTGAGCGTTCGTGTGAAGTAAGATAAATGTCGTGTAAAAGTCACGCATAATGGATAAAATGCTAAAATGCTTTTAGCCTTTTCTCAATGTGGGCATTGCAGGAAAAAGGCAGAACTTTTTCACAAAACAAACCAATTATATAGATCGGACATGTTTGGCAGGCCAGATTACAAAACTGAATGGGCCGCATCCAGCCCCCGGGCCTTAGTTTGCCCATGCCTGTGCTAAAATGTACATTAGAAGGGACTGATCAACACTTACAGGCTTACCATCAAGTCCTGGTGGTCCTTCCCTTCCTTTTTCTCCTCTGCCTCCCTGCAGTATTATGGTGATACGTTTTTAGAAACATTGTTATTTGGGATTGAAACTAGTAAGTGACATTGATGGATAGTTGTTGAATAATACTAAAAGTCTTCAAAAACATCAATAGAATTGAACAGGTCCATTTGATTTCCACATTATTGCTGAGTGATTTCTGGAGGATGAGAGTGTGTTTGTGTGCGTTTTACCATGCGTCCTGGTGGCCCACGCTGACCAGGTGGTCCGACAACACAATTACAGTCTTCCTCATCCACAGTGGCTATTCGTTTCAGGGGACACTGAAGAAATATTAAACATTAACACTGCTGAATATTGCAGTAGCTTACTTTGCCTTTTCGCTGCTGTCTGCAAAACTAAGGTAAACAAAGGGACGCCACTCACCCTTTCATCATCCTGTACACATAGGAATAAAAAAAAGAGAGAGACAGAGAGAATGGACAAACCATATTAACACTCTGACCTCGGAAAATGTGCCAAAAAACAGAAACAAAGTGAATTTTGAGGTTGAACTGTGACCCCTACCACAGAGTAGATCTCACAGGCTGTTTCTCTCTCACTCTGATGGGGATCGCAGTACAGACGCAGCTTCTGAATATCCACCTGCGTAGTAGCCGAGTCCCGTGTCAGGTACGATAACAACAACAACAAAAACAACATAAATCGTTTGATTGTTAATGAGTATTAACGGACAAGGTCATCAATTCCAATTAATAAAGTTCAATCTAATCGAATCAAATCTAACCTAACATAATCTGATCCCATCTAATAAAGTTTAATCTTATCCAATGTAATGGAATCAAATCTAATCTAATCTCATCTAATCTGATGTCATTTGATCTAAACTAATCTTACCTAACCTATACTGATCTAATCTAATCCAATCTAACCAAATCAAATTTAATCTATTCTAATCTGATGTGAACTAATCTAATTTAATCCAATCTAATCTAATCTGATCTAAATTGATGTAATCTAATCTAATGGAATCTAAACTAATCTGATCTAATCTTATATAATATAATAAAATTTAATAGAATTGAATAGAATTGAATCTAATCTGAATTTATTCAATCTAATCCAATCCAATCCAATCGACTCAAATCTGATCTAATCCCCATACCATCTCATCTAATCTAATCTAAACTAAGACTAGTGCTCTCTTCAATTGTCAATCTGACTTTTGTCCCGTAGCGGGGCAAAAATGCATTTTTCTCCCCACTTTTCTTTGTGGTGTCTAGTGCCTGGTGTTGCAGATAATCAAATAAACTTTTTTGTTTAGCACTTTTACAGTACTCACTCACTTACAGCAAAGTACCATGCCATTACTGTTACTGCTACTGCAACTGCTTCTTCTTCTTCTTGTACCTTGTCATTTTACCTTTTCTTTCTAAATGCAGCTTTGTTTTATATTAATTGTTGCTAAAGCTAGTTTGAGGGCTTACGGTACAGGAGAAACACTGTGACTAAGTCAAGGTGAAGGTAGGAGCAGCTGGAAGTGATTGTTTGACTTTGGGTTTATTATTTCTTTGTGGCCTAGGGACATTGTTGGGTTTATTATTTCTTTGTGGCCTAGTACTGGTCCACGCCCTAGTGGCTGTGGACCCCTGTCCTAGAGTACATTAAACATGGTTTTAGTTCGTTTATTATTATGTTATTTTATTTTTCATACTAAGACTTTTAGCATGTACTCACAGGAACAGTGATGTCGTGTTCTCTCCTCTTTGCCACCTGCGTCTCGCCATTGATATAAATGGGCTCCATCGGCTCAAGCTTCCTTTCCTGGATCAGTCGATCGTCGAGGAAACCCGTGATCTGCTTTGGCCTCACTAGAAGCTTGAGCTGATGCCATTTTCCGTCATACAATTTCTGAAAACAAGCACAAATGAATAATAAAAAAAAAGCTTCATATTTTGGAGACTGAAACGCACCTTTGTTCCCGCTCTGTTCATCAAAGCACCTGGCTGTAAATACTGTGATTATTGAGTCGAAACCTCTCACTTTTCTATTCCTGTCTCCCACCCTCTGTAGGTTTCGTTTCATCTAATTTTGACAGTTTAAGCCACAAATGTGTGTTTCCTAAACGCTCCGCAAACAGTTTATACCCAGAGACAAACAGCGCGACGAACTGTGAGCCGCTTTCCCATCAGGAGTGATTTAGGCTTTAAGTCTTAAAGCACACAGACACACGGAGACCAAACAGGGCAGCTATTGTAACATGGCGACTGGTCCATGGTCATCATTTCCAAATTACATCTCACAGACTTGTACCTTATTCCACATCAAACCAAATCACATCAAACACCAACGTATACTGTGTGTAAGGACAGACAGCGTTAGGAGACTTCGGGAAAAGTCCAGGCATCCAGCAGGATGTATTATTAGCCTGCGCTGCCATGGAAACACAGGAACGCTGTCCAAGTTCTACACATCCACAGGCTAGATGCCACAAAATAAACACAGCGGTCTAGAGCGGGAAACATTTTCTTTGAGACTTGCCTCCACTGTAAATTCAATCAAACGGACAATGATGATGTGAGAGTACTACCAGCTTGGCTCTTCACTCGGGTCAATTCACTGCAGCCAGCCTGCAAGTGAAAAACAAGACTAGGAGAGATCCACTTGCTACACTGTATTGTTTCAGAAGGAAAATAGCAGAGAACTGGAGTGCTGATGTCAATATCACAACTCAACTAATGTTCAAGCAAGGATCAGTTTGACCTCGACCACTTTCACATAAAAATGTACATGTGATACTTACGTCACATAAGTCAAACTCAAGGCCGAATAAGGCCCACCACATAATTTTATGTTTGCCACCAGAGCTTGTAGTCCATATGTGACCAGTCCTTGGAACCTTTTTTTTGACTACAACAGGGGTGTCAAACAAAATCTTTTAAAAGCTGGACCCCAAGTATTTTTGAAGAAAAGAAATGTTTCACATACAGCAATGGTGGTATAGTGTTGAGCATAGCTGCCTTCCAAGCAGTTGACCCGGGTTCGATTCCCGGCCATTGCAAAGCCTTGTATTTTAACTAAAGTTCTCCTGTCTCTTGTTACTGGTGAAATATTCCACATACATTCTTTTATAGTTAGGATAAGATACATACCACAGCGATGGTGGTATAGTGGTGAGCATAGCTGCCTTCCAAGCAGTTGACCTGGGTTCGATTCCCGGCCATCGCAGTAGCTGTACTTTAAGCAAAAGCTCTCTACTGAAATACATTACACTTTTTGCAAGGTTCTTGCCTGAGATAATTAGAGATGAGGCAGGAGTTTTACAAGGCTATAAGGTCAACATACATAGTCATTGCACAGCAATGAACATTATATTTCACCCTGACTTTTCTAGTAGAACCTTTGAATTCTAATGGCAATCTAGCAACCTTTTCCAAGTTGGAGGTCTGACAGTTACCTCTGAATTCCTATCACTGTTAAGTCAACTTTAAAAAAACAACAACAAAAAAGAAGACACTTACATGTTTGAGAACACTTCTGTTTTAAGAGAAAAGGGCATAGACTATAGCGATGGTGGTATAGTGGTGAGCATAGCTACTTTCCAAGCAGTTGACCCGGGTTCGATTCCCGGCCATCGCATAGGTGTTAACTTTAAAGTGATGGTATGTATTTAGCTGTTTCCTTTACCACTGTATATAAAAAAATATGTCAGTGGATTGGAGGATTTTCAATAGACCTAGATGTAACAGAAAGTGATACTGCTGCTATGTGGCTTACAGCAGCTCCAGTCAGGGGGAAATATAGGATTTATTGAAAGTATGTAATAACTGAGAATAATAGGAAAAAGTGAGAAACACAGACATGATATAGAGTTCTACAAGAGGAAACAGCACTTGTTACAGTCACAGTAACATTCTTCTGTCTTAGTACTGTTCTCCCTTTTCCTTTCCCGGTGTCTCCTCCTACTCCTCCCTCCTCCTCCTTGGGGTAAATTCCTCACGCAGGCTGCTGTTTTGAGAGAAGTCCTTGTTGGCTCGTAGCGATGGTGGTATAGTGGTGAGCATAGCTGCCTTCCAAGCAGTTGACCCGGGTTCGATTCCCGGCCATCGCAGTTAAATATTTTTTAACCAAACTCCAAAATCCAATAGAAACCAGTTTAAGTAGAAGAGAACAATCTACACATGTGACTTTTTTCAACTAAGTAAAAATGATACACAGTTTTACAGAAGGAAACTACTCGTACTTGTTACAGTCACAGTAACATTCTTCTGTCTCAGCACTTTTCTCCCTTTTCTCTTCCAGGTGTCTCCTTCTACTACTCCCTACTCCCTCTCGTCAAGTAGACTGCTATACAAAGAGTCTGAAATACAGCGATGGTGGTATAGTGGTGAGCATAGCTGCCTTCCAAGCAGTTGACCCGGGTTCGATTCCCGGCCATCGCAGTTGAATGATTTTTAACCAAACTCCAAAATCCACTGAGTTATAGACTTTACCAAGACTTAGAAACCAGTTTAGGTAGAAGAGAACAATCTACACATGTGACTTTCTTCAACTGAGTAAAAATGATACAGAGTTTTACAGGAGGAAACTACTCGTACTTGTTACAGTCACAGTAACATTCTTCTGTCTCAGCACTTTTCTCCCTTTTCTCTTCCAGGTGTCTCCTTCTACTACTCCCTCCTACCTCTCGTCAATTACGCTGCTATAGATAGAGGCTGAACCACAGCGATGGTGGTATAGTGGTGAGCATAGCTGCCTTCCAAGCAGTTGACCTGGGTTCGATTCCCAGCCATCGCAAAGCCTTATGCTTTGAAAGCACTCTCTAGTTTTCTAGCTTGCACACATCACTGACAACCTCGGGCACAATCCTTGAAGTGTAGTTTTTCAAGATATTGTAACAAGTATTAAAATCTTTGTTATTTTTATTCATAGTAGTTCCACAGAGGAGGATTTTAAATTTAACTATGAACTCAAAGCTTGGAGGTCTGTGAATGTGTTTTACCAACAAGAACCTGGACCAGTGAAGGAAAATCTGTACACTAACCTGAAATCCAGTATGAAAAGTGATTCTTTGCTCGTTCGCCTTCATTTTAGTGGTGGTGAAGATGACACTTTTGTCCTTTCCATTTAGCGTCACAGCAACCTGAAACTCCTTATTCTTGGACAGAACCCTCAGAAGATCAAAGGTTGTCTTGGAAGATGAGCCCTTCAGGCGTAGGGTGGCTACAAATACATAGGATGGAGGCAGGCCTTCTGGAAAAATATCCCTTCAATAAAAACAAAGTTAAAAAATATAAAAATGTGTTAGTTTTGACAGCCAAATGCAGGGAACACAACCCAGATTCCTGAAACATTGAGGATACATTTGTACTTAACAGTACCTGGTGTTCTCGGTGATGTCAGTGGAGGCAGTAAGAGAATATGCTATTTCCGATACCAAAGAGCCGGGGATCTTAATTGCCTTTCTTTGGATATTCAGACCCACCATCAACTCAAAGCCTTTCTCATCACGAGAAGCCACAGGGATTCTGGTTGGACAGACAGACTCTAAAAATAAAATTTAAAATTTAAATTAATATTTCAATTTCTGACTCCATTATTTGGATATGTACTGGACTTTTACTCATGCAATTTATTGGTACACTTCCCATCGTCTAATGTGTGGAGCTGAGACACTTTTGGCATTCTTGAAAAACTAAGGCCAGATGCGGCCTGTTCAGCTTTTTAATCTGGCCCGCCAAACTTTTCCAAATTATATAATTTATTTATATTATCATTATAGTTCAGCATTTTCCCTGCAACACCCACGTTTCCCCAATAGATGGTGTGGAAAATGATAAAAGATAAGTTTAAAAGAACTTTTAAAGCTTGATAAATCTTGGGCCAGTGTTTTTAAACCTTGGGGTAGCAACCCCACATGGGGTCACCTGGAATTCAGATGGTGTTCAGGAGATGTCTAGTAATTGATAATAGCAAAACTATGTGTTTAATTTTAAATAAAATGCAGCATATAAAAATATCTGAACTGGCGCATCTTGATTGACTGCTTTGATCACGCGACGGCACAATTGGCAGCTACTTGACTTCCCATGCCTCAAACACTAATGATCAAAAACTAATTCCAGAAAAAAATAAATGATGTCATCAGCCAAATGAGGTTGGGAACCGCTACTTTAGGTTGATGCCTCGGCTCAAAATTCTGACCTTCACATAGCTTCTGCTCCATGGAGTCCCGTATATGGTCAATGTTGGTGTAGTTCTCAGCATACAGGACGTAAGTGGAAGATGGCTTGTTAGCAAGCGATATCAGCTCTGATGTGGTGATCTCCGTTCCAACGCCAACCGCAAAGACAGTGATGCCCTCTGCACGTGCTTCCATGCTGGCATCCACCTTAGAAAACAATAGAGCCTTAAATTGGCCTTCAACATTTACATTCGCTAACATTACATTCGCTAACATTTACACAAAGATTAAGTTTGAATATCTTTTTCTCCGACTTTTTCTCCGACAGTGCCTCATTTACCACATCGTCCTGAGATTTGCCATCGGTGACCACCACAGCAATACGGTTCTTGACCTGGCTGGACCGTTGTGATGAGGAGAAAACGTGATCCACAGCGAACTTAATGGCCCTTCCAGTCTGGAAGAAATAAATATATACAGTACATTAAATATATTAGTGCACAGGGATCACAGGGGTGCTGTGGATTATATAGGTCAATTATAATTACCATAATTTTCGGACTATAAGCGGCTACTTTTTTCACACGCTTTGAACCCTGCGGCTTAAACAACAATGCGGCTAATTTATGGATTTTTATGGGCTAACAAAGTTCATACCACTAGCGATCAATGATTTTTCTGGTAGGCTACTGTGCGTTATACTAGTAGCGTATGTTTGTCTGTGTGCGTATATGTGTGAGGGGTGCGAGAGAGAGAACACGGCAGCGAGAGTTGAGAGCAGTTTAAGCCCTGTCATTTTAAAACACCGGTTATGTACTGAAGAGAGTATTGCTATATTAATACCAACGACGTCTTTCATGAATTTGCAGCCTGCTTGAGTACAACATTTCAAGCGCAATGGTTCATGAATGTCAGATATTGTAACAAAAAGATATGTCCTGGAAAGAGACAAAGATGCTGTAGTGCTGTTTGTAATGGCTCCCTATAAAAAAATACAAAATATAATATTACATTTCTACTTCTTAACTTAAGGACCAGACACCTCTGTTGCTGGTGGGAACACAGTTATAAAGAATAATGTCATAAACATACCTTTTATTTTACTTTTATTCTTTTCTAGCTATGGTCACTCAAAAGGTCAAGAAAGAACCAACAACAAAAATGTCTACTAAGACGGTACTGCACCCCACGCTGTCTGCAGTTTAGAAATATACGCCATGTACACACAGCACATAAACAAGTGGCGTGCAAAGTTTGTGGTGCAAACTGAACAACAATTTAAAGACGTGAAGTTTGGTACTGCATGCCAACACTTATTACAATTTAATCCAATGAGTGCAGATAAATTGACTAAAATAAATGTTAAAATTAAAAAAGTGATAACAGACAAGCCTACCTGTGTGTTTCCTCCAAGGTAGGTGATGCTACGTATGGCCTGGATGAGCTCTGCCCCAGTCTGATGTGCCCCTAGAGAAATCTCCAGACGTGGTGTGTCACTGTACTGGATCACCCCAACCTACAATTTAAAATTTAAATTAACGGCATGAATATAATCAAAATGAAATTGCACTATATGCATAGACTTAATAATAACAATACACAGGACAACAATAATAATATATCCACAATTTTCGAGTGTTTTTTTTTTCTTTTTTTTCAATGGTGTATAGCTATTCTTGTCTTTTTCTGGGTACATTCTTGTGTCTATTCCTGTTGTTTTCACAGTGCTTCACTGCTTCTGCTGGAGCCTTGATTTCCTGAAAGGGAACTTCTGAGGGATTAATAAAGTTATTTCTGTATCTAGCTTATCTATCTTGTCTTTTCGTGAAAACATTTCTGTCCCCAAGGGGGGGGGGGGGCATGACAGAAAAAACCATTGAAAAGCATTGTATTAGACTAATGTCTTCCTCTTGAATTACCAGGTTAACAACAATAATAATAACCAGGTTTTCTTTCACCTGCTCCCTACTCTAAATATAGATTACAATGTCATCTGCAAACATTATGAACATTTAGAAAAAAAAAACACTTTGATGCCTGTCCATCACCTAGTCAGAAACAGGGCTCAGAGTGAAACCCTGATGTAATCTCCCTACATCTTGAACCGATCTGTCACTCTGACTGCGCAACTATTGTCTGGCTCAACTCATCACCTCAACTACTTCTCTGCAGCTCCTGACTTTCTAATACAGTACCAAAGTTCCTTTCAACTGTATCCTATAAAAGACTTTCTTTTGAGCCAGAAAGACACAGTGCAATTGCTGTAACCTCTGACCTTCTCCACCATGGCCAAGAGGTTCAATAATTCAGACCATGGGTTAAATATTTATTTTGGTGTGTAAGGGAATGTGTATTCACAGTACCTGTGTGTAGTGTGAGCTGATGTCAAACTGGCTCGTGATGTTGATGAGCCACTGTTTGGCACTTTCAAAGTCAGTGACCCCCACACTCCACGAGCCATCGACAATGTAAACAAGGTCATTTACTGCTGTGCTGCACCCTACGAACACATACAAACATACACACACGTGAGGAGAATCAAAACTCAGCAGTAAATTTAAGGAAAGAAAATGTCAGTATAAGCTACAGTCAAAAGAAAAATGTAGTCAATAATGAATTTGATTTTTTTTTTTTTTAGGTTACAGTGCCTCCAGCCTCCCTACCTGCCCGGACATCACCGTCTTCTGCAGCATCTATGTAAGTCAGCACTAATACTGCACTCCATGCTGACCAAATGAACATGGTCCTGTTAAATGCTTATCTTCTTTTCAGTCTGAAAAACAAGAAACATACACTTACAATCTTCATTTACCCTCATTTAATATACTATTATTACATTATGCACAATATTATATTCTTATATGTAATCTTAAGATGGTTGGATACATTTTTTTTTATTATTTCTGATACCCAACTACCCAACTTAGAGTATCTGGCGATAATAATATTAGTTTGGGCTTAGGTATC